ACAGAAAAGGACATAGGGTGCTTATACTTTGATTAATTAAGCCCCCACGTGGTATTAGCCCAGGTCCCCCCATATTCACAGTCCTCCCCTGGGTAACGCTTAGTAAAAGATGCACAAAAATGTAGAACGTTCTGCAAGTTATAGAACGTTCGGAAAACATGGAAATTTACAAAATTTTCTATAATTTCTTAAACTCCATTTGAATTTCTAAAGAAACCAAAAACCAAATGCGACGGCTAAGTATGAAAAGCGCACGTATTGTTGCGAACCGTCACAACTGGGATGATCAAAGACAAAGTATTACTCTCTTCAGCCTTTAACATGCGTTGGAGGTAGGAAAATCTGTATTTTGAACGTCTGCAATGCTACATAATACCAAATGACGGAGCAAGTGTTACAGTTTGCTCACTACCTGCAACGGCATAATGAATTTCTCCCCTAGATCAGAAAATAAACAATTATACCTACTAATTTTGAAATTATGCAGACCCTATATAAACTACCCCATGTCGCCACTGATTCTTACCCGAGCAATATGGTTAGCTTAACGGTAAATTAATTTATATCTATGTATAGGGAGGTAATAAAGACTAGAACGACTTACAGAACAATGGATATTAACATATTAAGTTCACAAAACAGGAATTCAACAAGGCATAATTAATTTCCCGCGCATTTTTTTTAAGAAGTACCATGCCGAATTTTCTTCCTTGCCTTCAAAATAAACACAAAGTTCACTTTATTTGCACCCACGTTTAAGAAATGATACCGTAAAAAGTTTAAAGGTATCTAAGTATACACTAACAAAATCTTTTGTTAATCTCTAAACAGAAACGGAGTTTTTTTTTAACGTGGAGGTTGTTGAAGTTTTCTCAAGAATTGCTTTCTTTAGAGGTTTTTTGTGGGTGTACAAGCCATAATAATTGCATAAAAGAGTTCAAGTAAAAGAACAAGTGCAAAATGCTCCTTCGAAATTGGATTAACCCAACTGATTTCACACATGTCAATCAGGATTTAGTTGAGCACAAATTGATCAGAGTCCATGAAATCGGGAAGGTTTTGGAATTTGCCAGGGGCAGAATTTGTGCAATGGCGACAAAAACGAAAACAGTTTTGCGTTTTAAGAAATTTTATAGTCAGACAGATACATTTTATTTCTGAGAATGTAACTTTATGTAAATATTGTCCTTTTTGACATAATATTAACGAAAGTACATAAAGTATGCGACGTGTGTTGTCCGTTTTCTCTTAATTTCTGCAACTGTAGTTTAAAAATTTGAAATATTGTTTTTTATTTAAATGGTACTGTAGAACCTTGATAACTTGAACCTCGATAACGTAATAACCTCTATAAATTCATAAAGTTTTGTGTTCCCTTCCCCTCGGAGTCCACAACCTCTATTACTTAAAATAAAAACCTTCTATAATTTAAGGATGTTTGGGAGGTACGTCAAAATGCTGCGAAGCAAATAAAAATTTGGAAGAACGTTCTTCATTCAATTCTAAAACTCCGGTAAAAATTACAAATCGATTCACTAAACCGTTAAAAAGTTATTGAAATTTTAAAAAATTGTAATTTTACACGTCATTTTATGAAGATTCGTTAACCGAACAGATTAAATTTATTTTTATTAACAGAAAAAAAGCTACCAGAAATTTCAAACTTTTATAATAAGTAACTTGAACTCTGGAGAATCACTTTAGCGTAAGGTTATTCA